AACCGAGGTCCTGACTCTCTGTGGTCATTAAAAATCCCAGGATGTCCTTCGAAAAAGAGTAGGGGTATAACCCCGGCATCCTGGCCAAATTTGCCCATTGGCCTCTGACCATCATGGCCTCCTAATCATCCCCATACACTGATAATCACTCTCCTCTCCACCAATAGGCTGGTGTGTGGTGGGCGTTCTGGTGCAATATGTCTGCCATCGCATCATCCAGGTGGATGCTGCACACTGGTGGTGGTTGAGGAGATTCCCCCCCTTTCATGTAAAGCGCTTTGAGTACCCAGAAAAGCGCTATATAAATGTAATAAATTATTATTAATTATTATTATTAGGGATGCACCGTAACCGAAAATACTGGATGCACTTGGCCGAAAACCGAAACCAAAAATGCTTTGTAATGATTCTTTATTATTTTATTAAATAATATAAAGTAATTTTGTAAGACTTTTTAAATTTAACTCAATAATTTTAATGATACTGAATTTAAAAAACACAAGCCAATAAAATAACCACACTTTTACTGAAAGTACCACATTAAAACTGGACAGAATTTATATTAATTTAATTAATTAAATATTGGTAACACTTTACAATAAGGTTCATTAGTTAACATTAGTTAACTACTTTAGTTAACATGAACTAAGAATGAACAATAGTTCTTCAGCATTTATTAATCTTAGGTAATGTTAATTTCAACATTTACTAATGTATTATTAAAATCAACAGTTGTGCTTGTTAACAGTTAATGCACTCTGAATTAACATGAACTAACATTAAGAAAGGTTAATAAATACTGTAATCTATTGTTCATTGTTCGTTCATGTTAGTTAATACACTAACATTAACTAATGGAACCTTATTGTAAAGTGTTACCTTAATATTAAATATCAATATATTATTTTTATTCACTTCTATGCAACAGAATCAGATATAAGTTGTTGTTTTTTTTTGGACTAATTATCCAATTAATGTATAGTCCTACAAAGCTATTATTATCAGAGTAAGTACCCAGCCCAGTACAGCTGAACTAGCCTACACCATGTTACAGCACAGTAGCACTACTGCAAACAGGAACAAGTATACTGTATAGAAATTTCCTGTCAGCGCGTTATTTGAGCAGACTTTGCTTTTCCGGTGAGCATGAGCGGTATACGAGCGGAATGCACATTCATAGTGCGGAATACTGAGCGGAGCAAAACACACAGTGACGAGGAGAGTGAAACCTGCATGCTGAACACTGCCGGACGGGGAGCGCCATATACATTATTATATGTAGCCTATATTTTCGGCTCGTATTTTCAGCCGTTTTTCTCTTTCTCTTTTGATAATTTTTGGTGGCCGAAAATTCGGTGCATGCCTAATTATTATAATATGACTGCAAGTGGGGTGCGATATTGGCCAAAAAAAAGAATATATACAGTGTGTGTGTATATATATATATATATATATATATACTTACAACGAAATGAAGGGTCTGTAATTTTTATGGTAGGTTTATTTTAACAGATAGAGACCGAATATCAACCAAAAAATACAGAAAAAACACATTATATAAAGGTTAGAAATTGATTTGCATTTCAGTGAGTAAAAATAAGTATCAAGGTCCTCGGTCTGGAGCTCCTTACAAGATCTTGCCTCATGAGGTAAGGATGATCATGAGAAAGGTGAGGGACTTTTATCATAGTTTATAGTTATATGGAAACGAAAGTGGTTACCATTCAACCTGTTATTTTTCTTCAGTGTTTGTGATTTGAATTTTGTGAACAGGAGTTCCTCTTTTGCTATGTTATAAGCCGGTCTTCGGATGCTTTCACTTTCGAATTCACAATCTTGTCACATTTTACAAGAAAAGATAATTGTCTGATTTGACATACATCTATACATATTTCACTTTTTAAGACCAAAATAAAAGATGGATTCTTTATTATTCTTAATTAAAAAGCACAACAACAGTAAACAGTAAGATACAATGACAAACTAGCTTACAAAACATTTATTAACAAAAACGAATAAGATGAGGCATATA